AAACCGTGGCTAAAATCTCTAGTCTTCTCAGCTCTAAAATAGATATTTTTCTAGGTCTCAGAATAGTAAAACTTAAGGTTCATAGAGTACTGGTGACATTGTCATACCCTATGGAATAGACAAGGACGCTTTCGTTTGCCACGCCTTACAGCAGGGCTCATGGAACCTTAGAGAGAAAACATTGCATGTCCAAGGTCACACATTAGGTCACACAGTCACCCGCTATTCATCCCTTGCAATGTCCTAGACTCCCGATGAATGTCTATAAGGCAATCAGCAAGCTGAGTTTACTTTTCAAATACTCTTCAAGTTCTCCCTCCTTTCCCCATGCTCTGTTTTGATCATTCGCCTGTATTTATATATAAGTTCTATATTGCACATGTTTATATATTAAATATGTTTATATATTGAATGCTTAGCACTAATCTGAGTCAGTCATTCCAATCATCTAATCATCTTAAATAACTGTGAGTAGATTCTCCAGGAGGAATTCAAGAGGAGTTCTTGTATGTGCAAAAGTTTGTGTGTGGCCCTTATACTTGACTCTGTATGGATATGAAACCCAGCAGTCACTTCTTCTTTTCTGGAATAGCTTTAATGTATTGATTTAAAACATTTATCTTTGGCCTAGTTGTGGTGGCGCAGCTGCTAGGGCACCACTCTGCAGTGCTGGAACCACATGGAAGACTGCAGTTTGGTTACTGGGTTGACCTGAAACATGCTGGGTGCACATGCATGTGTGCCCATGATCCTGGTTGGGTGGGGAACTGGGGGTTGGGGAGTTACAGCATGATGAGACCCTGTGAAGGGTGTCTGTTTCTCTCTCACTCACAAAAGAAATCTTTTTTTTTTTTTTTTTTTTGCAGAGAACATTACTGTTGAAAAGTCTGAATGACACTTTAATTTTCTTTCCCTTACAAATGATACGGACCTTTTTGGGGGAGCTGACTGTCATCCCTTTCCATCATTCCCATTTCAGTGAGGTGCATGTCCTTGTACCGTTAGGAAGGGAATATGGGCAAGATATCTCTCCTCGCTTTCTTCTTAAGACTTTGCCACTCTCATTTTCTTGAAGAGGAAAAATACAGCATCTTGCTTTCAGAGACCTCCACTTCCTTCCTCCACGTTTACTTCCAGCACAGTCTGCTAGAACTCTCCATGGTGATGGAATTGTTCTGTATCCACCCTGTGCAGTGCAGTTGCCATGCAGTGGAAGCCACCAGCTAGTTAGCATTTGAAATGTGGCTAGTGCCACCGAGAAACTCAGTTTTAAAATACAGTTTTAGTGAATTTAAATGTGAATAACTCTATGTGGTCAGTGGTTTCCTTATCAGACAGTGTAGAGCTCTAGATCTTCCCTCTCCTTTTCCCCAACTGTCCCAGTCCTCCTCAGTTTGAAGTCTTTTTGTAGTTCCTCTTCTGTGTGGGACTTTGTCTTGAAAGGGAGTCCCCACTGTTCATTTCAACAGTTTTCAGGTCAGCTGGCTCTGGAGCCTGGTTGTTAGAGCAACTGAATCCCATATGGCCGACTGCACTGTTCTAGTTCCAGACACAGCGGCTTGAGAAACATGCCAAGTGTGTGTGCTTGCCCAAAATCCCCAAAGGAGAGAGATGGAGGAGAAGGTTGCATTGTGGTCATTGCCCATGGGGGAGTACTTTCTTCTTCTTCCTCTCTCTTTCTTGTTGTCTCTCTCTGACAAGCATGCATTCCTTCTAGCTAAAATAAAATAAAAATTTATTTAATTTAAAAATTGGCAGTTTGGGGACCAGCAGATGGTGTAATGGTTACATCACTCTACACCCACGTAGTCAACTGTGGTTTGAGTCTTGGACCCAACAGCTTAAAACTCATGCAGGCACATGTGCATGTGTGCTCAAGGTCCCAGGGGAGAATGGAAGAGGAGGGATTATGGTGTGGCCATCCTCCCTGGGGGATGATTTCTCATTTTCTGTCTCTTTCTCCCCAGCTAGCACATGTGCCCTATAGCAAAAATCTCTATAAAAAAAATAAAGTTGTCAGGTTTCCATTGCTACAGGGTGTTCTTACCTGTACTTCAGGGCCTGCCGAAACCCCTCTTAGCTTTGCTGCTCTGCTCACATTGTCTGTCAGGCTTCATGGCCAGCATCCGCAGGTGGTTTTGAGGGTCTCTGGTTCTCACAGCCAGCAGAACACCTTGACCTTATCTCTGCTTTCTCTGACATTGCTGCAGATTCCACACAGGCTGTAATGCTAGAATTTGTCCTTGCCCACAGATAGTCAGGGCTTCAAAAGATCATGGAGATGCATATTATGAGAAGACTATGCGTAAATTTCAATTTTTTTTTTTTTTGCACCAGAATAAACGTGTACTTTAATTCTATTTTCCGTAAACTTTCTGAAGTTCCCTCATATTTTGGGATCCCTCCTCCCTACATTCATTATACAATAAATATGAATGTTTTATTTTTCTATCCTAGCTGCTCCACCCAGTTTCCCAGACTGCAGCTTAGGGGACCCCAACAATGAGAAAGAGGCAATCAATTTATAATTGAGGACTGGAGCAAGTGAACTGTTCAAATGTGCATAGCCTAGCAAAGATATTTTGGATCAAATAAGTGAATGACTAAGTAGATGAATGAAAGACTTGAGTGACATCTTTAGTTGAAGGGGCAAACCTTGAATATATTGGGTATGGCTCTAGTCTCCCTGATATTCTTAATATTGCTCTTCAGCTTAGAAATAGACTCACGAGGGTTCTCTTGGGCATTGCCCACCCCTACCTCATCCTATTCCCCTGAAGAATCCAAACCTTCATCCTGGGCCCACTTGGTTTTGATCCCTCCTTGGTGCTCTCTGCAAAAATGATGCCCGCTTTGCTTCACTCTGTACGAGAGTTCCTTTACACCAAGAACCCTCAGGTTCCTTGAAGGTGGGCCTCACCTTCTTCTCTCAGTTCTGGGGCTCCACCCAGCTCCTAAATGACAGTGTTGCATTTGAGAGTTGGATACATATTCCGCATTTGCAAACACACTTGACTCAACATCGACTAAGAAATCTACTTATGAAAACGTGTTCAGGAGACCGGAAGAATGCCAGCCATGCCTCCACACATACGCACAGCCAGTCTCCCTGAGCAGGCATCTGGAGGGCTTCACTGCCCCCAGCCCCTGTTCTTCTCCCCTTGCCTCTATGCCTCAGGCCCTGGATTATCAACAAGAAATCTCAGTGTGATCTTCTTTCCATTTGGCAGCTTTCCTTCAAACTTAGAGACATGCAACTTCCCCTTGGCACACCCTAGTTGGAGCCTTGGCAGAAAAAATCTTCTCAGTGTCTGTCTAACCTCACACCCATTTCAAAGACCTGAAACTAGGGAGTAGTGAAGGAATCAGCCTGCCTCTACCTCCTGGGAAATAAAATAGCTCCTCCTCATCTCCTGAAAGAAGGAGCCACAGTCCAGTCTGTAACCGTCAGCGTTCTCTAGAGAGACAAACTGACAGGATATATAAATGTGGATGTAAGAGAGGGGGAATTGGCTCACACGATTACAGAGACTGAGAAGTCTCGTGAAACTATCTGCACCCTGGAGGACCTGGGGAGAGGGTAGCATGGCCTAGTTCAAGGCCGAAGGCCCGAGAACCCAGGAAACCACTGGTGTTCTAGTCTGTTCTATATTAGTAACAGGAAATACTTGAAACTGGGTGTCTTATAAAAATAGAAGTTTATTTAGCTCATAGATTGGAAGTCCAAAATCCAGGGGAACCCTCTGGTAGAGGTCGTCTGGCTGCATACAATATGGTGAAGAGCAAGAGAGTGTGTTTGTGTCTGTCTGTCTCTCTCTCTCATTCCTTCTCCTTATCAATCCACCAGGAGTCCATCATCGGGACTCTAACCTGATGACCTTAATTCTAATTCCCTCCTCAAAGCCCCACCTTTCAACATCATAATTGCATTTTGGTTTTCACCCTCTTAATCCATTACAAAGGCTCAACACATGAATGGGGGGAGGGAGGCATATATGAAAACTCTAGAAGATGCCAAAGTCCCAAGGTCCAAAGGCCAGAAAACCTGGAGTTCTTCTATCCAAGGGCAGGAGAGGAAGGTTGTCCCAGCTCCAGGAGAGAGAGGAGAGAGACAGAGAGAGAGAGAGAGAGAGAGAGAGAGCAGGTGGCATGGTGGTTAAGGCACTGGACACTCCCACATGGCTGACCATGGTTCAAGTCCTGGATCTGGTGGCTTGCTTTCTCACTTTCCCTCTCTCTCTCTGTGTCTCTCTCTAGTCAAATTAAAATAAATGAGTGGAGGGGACCAGCAGTTAGCATAATGGCTATGTCACTGGACACCGCGTCTCGGACCCAGTGGCTTAAACTCACGCCGGGCGCATGTGCGTGCGTGCCCAAGATCCCGAGAGAAAAATGGAGGAGAAGGGATTGTGGCATGGCCATCCCCCCTCCTGGGGGGTGATTTCTTGCTTCCTGTCTCTCTGTCTCTCTCTGTCTGTCTGGTGAGCACACGCACCCTATAGCAAAAAACCTCTCCAAAATAAATAAATACATAAGTGGATAAATAAAATTAAATAAATAATTTAAAAAATAATGATGCTTACTAGCTATCTGGGTATCCCTTAATCTAGTCAGGTTGATAGCTAAAATTAGCAATCACACAGCCCCAGGGCCAGAGTGTGAGGAAGAAGCAGAACCTCCACTTTCTCTGGACTATATGGACTAGGTTGTGCATACTGTGTCCTGTAGATCGTGAGACATTCCAGCTATGGAGCCCCTGATGGTCTCAGACCCATGGGAGACTTGTGGTGGTCTAGGGATGAGAGTCACCCCAGGGTCATCCCAACCCTTCAGCTTCATCCCAACCCAATATGGTTATATGGGGCTCCTGTGTGGGGCAGGAACCCTTGTGCCATCCTCAGAAGCCATGCAGATAGGTGACATTGATGTTCACCCACATAACCATGAACTGCTAAACTGTTCTGGTTTTGCTGGTCTACAAGATCTTCCCTCTCTTCCAGACAGCGAGCCTTTCAAGAACCTTGTGTCCTGCACCACTTTCTACCTGTTCTTATTGCTTTGATGAGGACAATCAACGGCTGACTTGGACTCACAGACAATCCAGGCCAAGGGACAGGTGGTGGACCTCTGAGATTACTTGACGCCTCTCAAATATATCCCCACCACTCCCCACCTTCCAGCAGCTGTCTACTAGTGTAAGTATCTCTAACTCTTTTAGCATCTATTTAACTTTTCGATTTGTATCAGCCAGGATTAGGTTGGCAGCAAGTCATAGAACCTAAAACCACAATAGCTTAAACAAGTGAAGGATTTGCTTTTTTTACTCTCAAACAAAGGACTTGCGGAGACAGGAGATCAAGGGATGGTTTGGCAATCCCATGATGTGGCCTGTGTCCTGGGATCCTTCTTCCTTTCTGTTCTGCCACTGTTAGTACACGGTGTCCAATGTCAGGGGAACCTCGGGGCTGCAAGATGGGTGCTGCAGCTTGAGTCATCATACCCGCCATTGCGGCATGAATGAGGAAAGAAAGGACTGAACTTGGCAGAGGAGTCAGTCCCTTTCAAAAGGGTTTTCTGGAAGCCCCACATGACTTCCTCTAACATCTTAGAGGCTGCCCCATCTGAAAAGGAGATGGAGGTTTGTTTTTGTTTTGTTTTGTTTTGTTAATTGGGCATATTGCTGCCCTTAACATGATAGGAATTGTGTTAGTGAAGAGCTATCTAATGGTACTAGCCCTTGTCAAGTACTTCCCTGATGCTGGACACTCTGAATCACCTTATAGAACCCTCACAACAACCCTCTGAAGTGGGAACTATTATTACTCTCATTTTCCATAGGAGGAAATAGAGGCAAAACCATTTGAGTGATTTTCCAAAATGGCAGAGTCAGGATTTGGCTCTGGACACCAGGTGCCTCCACACTCAGGCTGAATTCCATGTGGCCCTGAACCTCCGTCATCAGTGGCTGTGCTCTTGTCACTGCAATCCCCCTCCCCGCTGCCTGTCCCACAATCCACTATTCACTGGAGGCCAAAGACCCAAGTTCGGAGCTGTTCTTACAGACACGGGCTGGCCTCCCCCACCCCTGAGACTCATCACTCCTTACTGGTGGCCAGCACTACATCCCTGGTCCCCTAACCTGTTCCCTCTGGTCTCTCCTCTGTTCGCCTCTGTCCCTCTTTCTGTTGTTTTCTCTTTCCCCACTGTCTCTGGT